GCCACTTCAGGGCTTCGGGTTTAGAGTTTAGGGTTCAGGGTTTCGGGTTTAGGGTTTAGGGTTTAGGGTTTAGGGTTTAGGGCTTAGGGCTTAGGGTCATGGAAGTGGCCCTTCTGGAAGTCAGGCTTGAATGGGCGGTGCGTGACCAGTGATATTCCGGTTGTAGCCAGCAGCACATTCGATCACCAAATGTGAACACAACCAGTGCAAGTCTCCCCTATTGTCGCATTCAGCAACAGCTGAGCTGGTATATTTGGGTGTTTCCGAAAATAGGGGACCCTAATATAGTACCCTAAATAGTAGGATCCTTATTATAAGGACCCCCAAAAAAAAGTACCCCTAAATTTTTGGAAACCCCCATATAGGAATGCATCGTTGTTCATTTTGGGGTCCTTATAATGAGGATCCTATTATTTAAGGTACTATCTTAGGGTCAGCTTGTCTTGCGCGCGTGGTCAGCACTGGGTGCATTGGTGGAGAGTGAATGCGTTACTTGGAGGTTCATGGGTAGTTATATGTGGAGTTATAAGTCCCCTAATAAAGGTTAGAACTATAGTTACCCTACTTATAACCCTACCTATAACTGCCCCTGAACCTCCAAGTAGGGACCAGTACTTCAATCCTCTCAGGGTACAGTAGCCTCTCAGAATACAGGAGCCGATTCATAACAAACAGCAGAAGAAGAAGGCAACCTGTGTTTGTGTGTGTGTGTGTGCGTCAGAAGCCGGGGAGAAATTTTAGGGTTTACGGTTTAGGGTTTACTTCACGCTAGTTTTCGGGAAAGCATGGAAGAGATCTACCATGCGACCCTCCCGAAACCCTTGAACCCTAAATCCACAGCCCCAATCATAAAACCGAAACCCGGCCCAAATCTACCCCAAAACCCTAAACCGAAAGGCCCAACTCACAATTATCTACCCCCCAAACCCTAAAACCCTAAACCGAAAGGCCCAAAACACAATTCTCAACCCCCCAAACCCGAAAGGACCTCTGCCGCGTGTGAGGCCGCGGAAGAAAGCCGGGGAGCGCCAGCGCCGAGGGCGGTGCAGGAAAAGTCGCTGCCATGGCACCTACCTTAAACTACCCAGGGTTTAGGGGTTTGGGGTTTAAGGATTAGGGTTTAGGGTTTGGGCTTTAGGGATTAGGGTTTAGGGATGAGGATTTAGGATTTAGGGTTTAGGGTT